AACCTCTTGAAGGAGGAGGTACAGGAGGGGGTTGTTATTGTGAAATAAGCATGAAATAAAGGGAATGGATTCAATGGAATGCTTCTCAAAATTTATATATTTGCTGCCTTCTGAGGTTGCGACTCTGTGACCTGTACAGCATTGGACATCAGTGAGCTGTAGGGCAGGCTAACGCATGGGGTGTGCGGTCACACATTGGTCTGTGCCGGGCAGCTCTATCCTTATCGCCGCGAGATACTTCTGTTCTTTTATATTCTCTCATTATGTCATTCACCCGAGATTTCTTGCTCTTGTTATACTTTCTTTTTCATGCGTGTTTGAAAGTTTTTTCCCTCTCTTTTTCTTAGAAAAAGGGCGACAGCCTGGAGATTCTGGAACTGACCGGCCCCGCGGGTAATTCAGAATTTCAGAGTTAGATGATGCGTCCACCAGGGTTCGAACTTGGATCTTTATTTCAACAGTTCAATGGTGTACCAACTGAGCTAGGCGCTTTGTTGGTTGCTTTTCTTATATGTGTTTCTTATACTTAGTGAGCAGCATTGAGTTGCACTGGGTATCAACGAGTGAATGCCATTTGGGCCCTCTGACTTCGGAAATTGGAAGGTCCCTTACAGCCTGCCCCTTGACTACGCATGATCTGCCTTTGGGTCTGTTATTCCAGTGGTTGACTTGATCCATGAGACAGCATGCATCCGAGGATAAAGACGCACAGGTGGTGATTTTGGTTGTTCTCAATGAGTCGTTAGGTGTGTGTTTATTTCGCTAACTCCCCAGTCCTTGCTGCTGTGGTTCGCACTGGGTGGATAATGGCAACAGTATTATCAATCTGCTTCCATGAATGAGACGGTGCTTTCCATTCGACAGAAACTCGAGGCGGTAAGCAAGTCCTCTGCTCATGAACCGATTTGCACAAAGTATGTTTATGATGTTTTTTTGTAACTCTTGCTATTGTCACTGACCTCCTCCTCCTCCTCCTTCTTCTTCTTCCTCTTCTTCGTCGTCGTCGTCGTCATCGTCATCGTCGTTGTTGTTGTCGTCATCGTTGTCGCCATCATCGTCTTCAGTTTGCGAGGTCTGTCTAAAGTACTCGTCTGCTTCTTGTTGAAGTAAGTGTGGAAGTTCTGTGTAATGTACTGTTCTGTTTTCTGGAAAGTTTGAAAAGGCAAGAAAAAAAGCCAGCAACGCTTCAGTTTTGTTGTGTCCAATAAGAAAGGCGCAAGGAGCACCTGCCATTGTTGGGCCATTGTCCAGCCGCATACCATCTTGATTTTACCTTTTTCGGTGTATCTCACTCCGAAGTGAGATCAACTCCAAGCATTTACAGGTGCAGTATCCCTCAACAGGATACTTTTGACCATTTGGTATCCTGGCAACATCGCGTTTAATGTGGTATTAGGAAACAGAGAAAGGAAGTACCTGAACCTATGTGGCGGAATGGTAAACGTATCTGACTGTTAGTAAGCAGCACGTTCAAATTCCCCTGATGGAATCAGATGAACACAACACAACAAAGTTAGGGTTATTCCCTGCTTAGGGAGGCAGTGAAAGGTGGACACAGGAGAGAGAGAGAGAGAGAGAGAGAGAGAGAGAGAGAGAGAGAGAGAGAGAGAGAGAGAGAGAGAGAGAGAGAGAGAGACACACAGAGAGAGAGAGAGAGAGAAAAAGAAAGAGAGAGAGAGAGAGAGAGAGAGAGAGAGAGAGAGAGAGAGAGAGAGAGAGAGAGAGAGAGAGAGAGAGAGAGACGCACACAGGAAGAGAGAGAAAGCGACAATGAGCCACAGCGGGATAAAGAAATAAACAGCAAAAGATGCAGAGCCCAGCTGAGAGAAAGAGATGAGAGACAGGAAAGGGAGATTTGAGAAAGGGACATTTAGTTGAATGAAAGCTACGGAACTCAAATGGCAAAAGCTGACAACTTTTATCTGTTGGCACAAAGTACGGAACCTGCACGTCAGTGAGGCATGAGCCCTTTTTGCACACAGCTTGCCGATCGTTGTGAAAAAGTGAAAAAGCCGATGTGTCTTCTAGTCTTCCTCAGTGATTTTTTTATTTTTTATTATTTTATTTTTTTATTTTTTTTATTATTATTTTTTTTAACAAGATACAGAACCTCACGGTTCTGGCTCCTACCATTCTGGGGAGCGACAGTCCGGTTCCTATTCCCCCGGCAAGTCAATTTGGAATACATAAAGGACTCACACACGCTCCTCCCCATTATGGCTGAGAGGCCCGAGTAGGCAGCATTGATTACTTCCCTAAGGAAGGATGTACCACCTCTCACCCCTGCCTAATCTAGCCTGCACTAGCTCTGCCTACCAATCTGTCTGATCCCAGATCCGCTCCTCTCAGCTATGAAGCTATACAAGAGCATTCTGGAACACTTATACGCCTTTGAACCCTCTAAGATTCTATAGCAGCTCTTGCCTTGTTTCTGTCTAAGCCATAAGGCCTAAACCCTCGGTCTTAATGCTGTCCTAATTTATCTGTTCTAAGACGTCCAGGTTGAAATTCTCTCTCCTATGCCCTAAAACTCTCCCTGTTTTCATCCTGCTATGACCCTTACCCCCTATACCCTTCCTTCGACTCTTAACCCTGAATCCCGTCCTCCTTTTTCCCTTTTTTCTTAAACCCTAAACCCTTCCTTCCACTGCTTGAGTTCCGTTCCCCCTTTCACTCTTCCCTGTAATTCTATGATCGGCGCCCTCCCCCTCTCCATCTGAAGATTAAATGTGCTCCTTGGATTGATGCTACCGCTCCATCACTGAGTACCTTTTGCTTAAAACGCTTCAATATTTCTTCCTCTTGTTCCGGCTGCTGACGTACCCAGTTCCTCCCCGCTTTCCACAGGTAGGCTTGCTATTATTGGCTATTACTGCTTTCTTTTTTGGGTGGTGACAAGTCGCCCCCTGTTACATACTTCAATGAGTATGGGCAGAACCAAAGATCAACCAATGTAGGATAGAGCATATATGCAGCGGAAGTCTGATAAACAGACTGACTCACATAGACTGACTCCTAGAATCACTCCACACATACACAGATGAAAGGTGGGAGGAGAGACGAAGGAGGTGGGGGAGGTAGACAGCACCGGTAGGTCACCGAGATAGAATCCGATAGGTCACCGATATGGTAGTCCAAAATGTCATCCAACAAGATCAAATTGTCGAGGACAATCAGTCACCAATGTCGGAGATACAGAGTCCAAATGTAACCGGTGTCCGAACTGTGATGCCGCCAAGTATCAACCCCAACAATCTCCAAGTCTCCAATCCGGTAAGTATCAAAGTCTCATGCCAGCAAAGTCCAACACTGATCTCTGTCCACTAGTATAAATCTCCAATCTGAAGAAGAAGAAGAAGAAGAAGAAGAAGAAGAAGAAGAAGAAGAAGAAGAAGAAGAAGATGGAGTCTGAAGAGAAGAAGAAGAAGAAGAAGAAGAAGAAGAAGAAGGAGGAGGAGCCGAGGAGGAGAGAGAGAGAGAGGGGACTGACGATGGGAGGGAGGAGAGAACCTCCAGCTCCCTGATACCTCAGGCGGCGATGGCCGCCGGTCTGGCTCAGTCGCCCTGCTGCTGCTCCGCTCGCCGCTGCTGCGCTAATGCTGTGCTGCGCTGCTCCTCGCTGCTCCTGCGCTAAAGATAGTGCCAGCGCTAATGTGCGCTGTACCATACCGTACCGGTAGAGTGCCGATAGGTCGATAGCCTCACTGAGGCTGGACCGGTACTTTTGTACCGGTGGGCAGAGGTCGGCCTCTATGCTGCGAGGCCTGACCGTGCCCTGAACCGTCCAGATGGACGGTTCAGCCCCAACCGGCGGGCGGCAGCCTCAAGAGCGCCGCCAGGCCCAAACGGTAATATCGTTTGGGCCGGCCCGTCGGGTCTGGTCCAAGGTAAGGCCTTTACGGCCTGTAGTACCCCCAAGGTCGGGCCTTTGGCCCTACTGTGTCCCTTACCCCTATGTCGGGTCCGGTAGGACCCGTGTGGCGTCGAAGATATAACACACTCCCCCTCTTAAAAGACCGAGTTACCTGCGAGGGCGGAGTTGTCTCGGGATGGGTCGGGTGGGACGAGCTGCTGCCATGGCAAGTCGTGTCTTCTCATAGTTGGCGAAGATGAGGGGTGCAGAAGTCTGCAAATCTGCACTAGAGATCCACCGAGTGTCGTCAGACGCACATTGCTTGAATGTGACTTTGTACTGCATTGGCTCGTTGCCATACTTGCGGTGCGTGATGACTCGGTCCACTTCCTGATGTCCGTCCATAGAAGGCGGATCCTGTGATCGAGGTTCGGGAAACTCGTCAACTGAAGGTGGCGTGTAGATGGCCAGCTTCGATGCGTGGAAGACCCGATGCACTGTAAGGTGCCGTGGAATGTTGATCACGAAGGAAGGACCTGCGGGGTCGTCTCCAACGGCAGAAGTGACTTCCCATGGTCCGAACCATTTCGGAAGGAGTTTGCGCGAAACRTCCTGCTCGAGCGCAAATTCCTYGGAGAGGACCCAAACAAGGTCTCCCTCGCGGAAAGGACATGGAAGTCGACATCGGTTAGCCTGCTGCTGCATGCGGATCTGAGCCTTTTGCATATTTGCGCGGGCTTTGATCAGCAAGTCCCGGTACTTCCAAACGGAAGCGGGAGAGTAAGGGACGTCTATGTCGGCAGCCTGTGGCAAAAGGAGATCAGCGAAGATCCGTGCTTTCTCTCCACCATGATATAGCTCGAATGGTGTGACGCAGATCGCCGGATGCACCGAAGTGTTATAGGCGAACTCGATGTCGGGAAGCCGGTCAACCCAATCTTTCTGGTCGGGACGGATGAGCGTACGCAACATCAGCTGAGCGGTTTGGTGTGCTCGCTCCGTCTGGCCATCCGTCAGCGGGTGCCGAGCCGAGCTCGACTTCATAGTCGTACCTGACTCAGCCATGAGGGAAGTCCAAAAGGTTGACATGAAGCGAGTATCTCGGTCGCTCACTTTGTCTTCCGGAACACCCTGGTTGGTAATCCAACCGGTGTGCAAGAGTCGTGCGA